CCCTCTCTGGGCAGCCTGTCCCAGGGCTCCAACACCCTCACAGGAAAGTTTTTCCTCATCTTCAGATGAAACTTCCTGTGTTCCAGTTTGTGCCCCTTGTCCTGTTACTGGGCACCACTGAAAAGAATCTGGCCCCATCCTCATGACACCCACCCTTTAGGTATTGATAACCATTGATGAGATCCCCTCTCAGTCTGCTCTTCTCCAGGCTAAGCAGCCCCAGCCCCCTCAGCCTTTCCTCAGCAGAGAGGTTCTCCATTCCCCTCACCATCTTTGTAACCCTTCACTGGACTCTCTCCAGTAGTTCCTTGTCTTTCTTGAACTGGGGAGCCCAGAACTGTACACAACACTCCAGATGTGGCCTCACCAGGGCACAGTAGAGAGGAAGAACTTCCCTGGACCTGCTGGTCACGCTCTTCTTAATGCCCCCCAAGCCTTCTTGGCCATGAGGGCACATTGCTTGCTCACCAAGATGAGCCTTTTTCAGGGTTAAAGGCAATGGACACCCAAACGACATCAATTTTGACTCGAGTGCCCCTGTATCACCCAGATCTCCCAAGATCACAGTTCAGTTGAGCTGGGACATACCTGCTCAGAGCCTGGAGGGAGTGTGTCTTGGCTCCGTGTGAGCATCCTGCGCGGAGACGTGGGCACGAGTGGTGAGCGCTCGGTGGGCGCTGGCAGAGAGCTGCTGGGGCTGCAGGAGTCCAGCTCCTGCCCCACAGACTCCAGCTGGTGAAAACCCCACAGTCCCACCTTCCTCATGCAGCGGGAGCAGGTGATCACAGAGAGCTGCACGGAGCCGGAGGCAGCACTGCAAGGACAGAGCCAAGTCAGAAGAGAATAGGTCAGGGACAAGCCTGGGCCCTTCCCCAAAATCCCAGCTTTCAGAACAGATGCAGGTATTTGTCAGAGCACAGGAATTGTCTCAGTCACAGGCACCTGAGCCAGCACATTTCAATGCATCAGTGCCCCTGGGCAGAATCCCAGAATGGCCTGGATTGGAA